GTCACATTGGTGTCAAATTTTCCTTCAAAATTTAGTTTTTGTCCTGTAATGCCATGAGCAATTTTTTTCATCAATAAAAAAATATCAGCAAATTTTTTTCCAAGTTTGTTCATTTATCAATGTCAGATCTGAACCAGTATTCAATTGGAACTTAATATTTTTATTGTTCATCTGCAAACTCTTTTCATTTCTTTGTTTTCCATTGTAGTTAACTGCATTTTCTCTTTTCACTTTTGGGTTTTCTGCAATGCATATACTTATGTCCTTTTTCCCCCCACAATTAAAGCATTCTTTCCATCTAAATGAACATTCCTTGTAATAATGAATCTGTTCACAGCCATAACAAAGATTTATTTTGTAGGCAAAATTTTCTTAATGATGTCTTTAACTGCCTGAATTTTGACATGTCACGTTCTATCCTTGCCATGTCGTGTCAAAGGTTTTCTATCATTCACATTCTTCTGCAACTATTTGCAGACTGATTTTTGGATTTTGTTCTAATTTAGACAAAATTCTGGTTCTAATATCACCATCTTCTGGAGCCATTACTCCTTGTACAAAAGTCAAGCACTTAAACATATCAGGAGTAAGTTCTTTTAATTCAAACTTTTCACACTTTCTATTGACAATCCTAGCAAAAGTAGAGTTGTTTTTGTAAGGTTTAAATACTGCCATCTTGTGTTGAATAGAGAACTTTTCTCCCCACAATTTTTTTCAGAATTAAGAGTCTCCTCAAAAGATATTTCTCCAGGAAGTATGTAGTTTGCACACTTTCTGCATTCACTTGGACCAAATTTTCCAAGCAACAGGCATATTTTCTTTTAGTCCAACTATGTAGTGCAATCGTTTTGAAAAAAATCTCTTCATAATGACAAAAATACACTGCCAAAGTTACCTCCTCCTCAGGACTGTACTTAAATTTACCAACTGAATTTATTGCCAAATACTGAGAAAAAGAATTTGCATTGCCCTGCTCTTCTTCCTTGTTCAACACTAACAATTTGAACATTTTTTTTCATACTGTTTGGTTTGTTTTTCAGAGCATTCCTGGTCCAAATATCACTGTTCCTCCAGCCATTCATTTTGTTTCTGCTGGATTTTCATGAATTCCACCATTGTTTCTTTTAAATCCTCCATGTTCCTTTGTAGAGACAAAATTTAACTGACAAAATAATTTTCTCCCCCATAAAAATATAGTGAATAAAATTCTTACTTATTTTTAACATGTCAATATATTATGCAAAGTTGAAATTAATCAGAGGTTGAGTCATCACCAACAATTTCTTGGTATATGACTGTAAATTTCTTTAAACCCGAATCCTCAGTCAGTGTTGGTATTACACTGGAAATTTTTACACTCGAATACCTCATCATGAAATGTTGGTATCCTGCTGGAAATTTTAGCATTCAAATACCTCATCATGAAATGTTGGTATCCTGCTGGAAATTTTAGCATTCAAATACCTCATCATGAAATGTTGGTATCCTGCTGGAAATTTTAGCATTCAAATACCTCATCATGAAATGTTGGTATCCTGCTGGAAATTTTAGCATTCAAATACCTCATCATGAAATGTTGGTATCCTGCTGAAATTTTAGCATTCAAATACCTCATCATGAAAATGTTGGTATCCTGCTGGAAATTTTAGCATTCAAATACCTCATCATGAAAATTGTGGTATCCTGCTGGAAATTTTAGCAAAATACCTCATCATGAAATGTTGGTATCCTGCTGGAAATTTTAGCAAATACCTCATCATGAAATTTGGTATCCTGCATCAATTTTAGCATTCAAATACCTCATCATGAAATGTTGGTATCCTGCTGGAAATTTTAGCATTCAATTACCTCATCATGAAATGTTGGTATCCTGCTGGAAATTTTAGCATTCAAATACCTCATCATGAAATGTTGGTATCCTGCTGGAAATTTTAGCATTCAAATACCTCATCATGAAATGTTGGTATCCTGCTGGAAATTTTAGCATTCAAATACCTCATCATGAAATGTTGGTATCCTGCTGGAAATTTTAGCATTCAAATACCTCATCGCCAAATGTTATTGTAAATAGGAAAGGTTGACACACACACAGAAAGTAAGAAGCAGTTCATTCCAGAGAATAATATGGTACATATTAACACAGACTAATGTAATAAACTGTTAATCATTAACTCCTCTCCCTCAGTAAGATTGAGTGCTGTTTAAATAGTCTTAGACCAGTCCATCTTGTCGGGGTGTTCAGCTACTCCACAACATAAAACAATGAAAGAAAAGAAAATTTTTCAAAAATATTTCTGATGTGAAAATGGCATCAAACTACATTTTTTTTTTTATTCTTCAAACATATTTATCAGCATCCTACAGAATTTCAAAATAACATGAAAATTTTTCAAAAAATAAATATTTATTGTAGATTTTTCACTATCAATTCTGAAAAAAAAAATAAATAAATAAATAAATGTACTTTATTAAATAACGTATGCACCAACTATCATCAAAAATTATTTCTGAGCTTTATTGGAGTATTTTTGTAAGATTTCAGAATAAATTTTCAAGATTTTCTGATATTGCAAAATTTTTTTTCCTGAAAAATGTCTTCACTCTTCTTCAGGGATGTTTCTTTATAAAAAATTTAAAAGTATTCAGTCACGTATCTGACCCCTACTAAAAATAATTCTACACAGTATACAATAATTAATTAATAAGTCCTGAAAATTTAATTAAAATCAGATAATTCCCTGATTTTGGTTTGGATAAATTTGTAAAAATCATGGGATAGCGTTTTTTGCTTTCATTTCGGAAAATAGTAAAAAAAGATAAAAAATAAAAAAAATAAAAAAAACGCATACATTTTGGTTGGTGGTACCTAAAAAATCATTTCCTGTATTTATTTATTATTTTTTTAAAGAAAAATATTTTCGCCGAAAGATCAACTGTTTTTTTAGTTAATATTTTTATTTTAAAACTTTCCAATCAACCATATGAAAGAAATTAAAGAATACTTAAAAAAAAAAGAAAAAAAAAAGAGACTCACCACTCACTCAGTTATTAAATTTCAATTTTTTTTTTTTTTTTTTTTTTTACATTCCTGAATCGTTGAAATTCATCCAGAATTATTTTTAGGGAACAAACATAAATTGGTTGATTTTATCAGCCATTCTTTAAAAAAAATATTTTATTTACATTTTTAGAAACTTATGATTGCAAGAGAGAGTCTTTAGTTTTTTTTACTTTTTATGGACACTTCTTTTTTTCTAAGTGTTGCAAAATAAAGATCCATAAAAAATTTTTTTAAATTATTTACATTAAAGTTAAACATTTAAAATAAATATCATTGAAATTTAATAAATGAATGTACAAATATGCTATTTTTCATGAATAAAAAATGATGTCTGATGGGAAAGAGAAGCTTTGTTTACTGCTGTTTAATCACTAAAAACAACAAAAACCACTGCTTCTCGTCCAAGGCGATTTGGCTTGTGGGCATTCATGGGTCATAGCCCGAAACTAAACTAAACATAACACTAGTAACACCGGGATTTTATAAAGTTATGAAAAACCAGATACTTGAATACGGTGTTCATTTTAATAATACCGGATTTTACGATAGGCATTCATTAATAATGGGTTAACGAAACCGTTTAAAAAAAGAAATTACCATAATAATAACATTGAAGCAAAGCCATTGATGCGAAATAAGCACGCGCATATTGGTTCGCGGGAAATATGACTTCCAAGGATTAGAAGTTTTAGTAAAATTCTGAAAATTTATTAAATATTTTATAAGTCTTATTTCCCACAAACCAATCTAAATGCTTATATGCATGTAAATAGACACTTTTTTCCCCTTATATAACCCGAACTCACCGGTGAAGTGTTTGTTGCAATCATTTTTTCCCTTACCTGAGTTTCTGAAGTATAATTATTAATACGTTTTTTTTTAAATCTGTATTTTCAAGCATTCTTTCTTTTTCTTTAATCTTACAGATGTTTTTCTTTTTAAGCACCCCCCCTACATATACAGAAAAGATGTTACAGTTAATTAAATTAACTGTAACATCTTTTCTCGCATCCTAGCTAATACGATAAAGTCTCTCTCTTTAGTCTACTCATATTGTTTAATTCCTTGAGTAAGCAAACATGCCTAAACAGATAAAAAAAAATGTTTGTTTAAAAAGTAAAACACTTTATTAGCTAGCTGCTAGAAAGTGTATGATTTTCTTGTTGTGCCATGAACGATTTATTTTTTGCTTTATTTCTTCAACCTTCTTTGTCAGTTAAATTAAGAAATCTAAATTTTTGTTGTTCAAAGTAATTACTTACATTATTATTTTTTTGTAATTAGTTAACGCATCCTATCATAAAATAAACATTTCTGTTTATAGCAAATACTTTCACACGAGCTTAAGAACCGAATACCAACAACAAAAAAGAGAATACCACTTGACTTAATTAAAAAAAAAAAACAAACAAACCAGACACTACGATAAACTATAAATTCAGATAAAAATCATTGTTTACTATTTTCACATATTTTTCGAAAGAGTTTTAAAGAAAGAAAAAAAAAGGAGTTTATTTTTTGTTTATTTACTGATCACTTGACTTTAAGCTATAGATATTTTTTTAGGATCCATTATTTTCATTGAGAAGTAGACTGTACTCAATGAGAATGATGCAACATCGACACTATACTCAAAGAAATACATTTATAATAGTGGAAGGTTTTAATGAAAGAAGACTCTAAAAAGGAAATAAAGCAAAATAATATGTATAAACTGAAACACTTAATTTATTTTAGTGAATGTTAGTTAAATGAAATTGAACAAACAAACCGTTAAAAAAAGTAAAACGGTTATAAACATGTCTCATGGATGACACACGTGTGTACTGCTCGGTCCATTTACTTTTAGGATATTTGATATCGGGGGGGGGGGTGCGTTTATAAGCATAATCATTTAAATGGTACAGTATATGGCAAAATATATGAAGAACAAACGAACCTAGAAGTAAAAAACATGTTTCTGCGATTGTGTAGTAACCTAATCCAGTGAAGTTCAGAGAGGAGCTGAATAGAATATATCTGCACATGCGTAGCACTACTCGATTAATTGTTGCGTTGATATCGGTGTAACCCGAATTTTATCACCTGCAAAGATAAAGAATATTATCAAGTCTGGTCACTCATTAATAAAAAAAAATAATTGATTCCTTTTTTAGAATTTATTTTTAATTCTTAATTACTCTTGCTAAGATGATTTCAATTAAAGTTATAAAAATAAGAAGTGGTACGTAAATATCTAATGTCGTAAAAGCCATTTACAGCTTTTACGACATTATTTTTTTGTTTATTTCATTTGGAAAATAAACACTTAAAACAAGAAACATGCTTTCTGCCTTTCAAAGCACTTTCTTGCCTACAAAAAATTACAATTAAAAACGAACTACACAGCAACGAATGGACAATTCTATTTACTTTTTAAAACAATTAGAGTTTTTTTGTTTAAGCAACTGTTAGTTACCCATTTTTCGGTTTTTGTTTCAAAGTAATATGGCATAAATTCTAAAAATCAGCAAGAAGCTATATAAATAAATACTGAACGGAACATTGAGCCGTGTCATTTTTTTACAGTAAAAATGAAAAGGCTCAATGAGAAAATTAATAAATGTGCTTTAAGGAAAAAAAACAATAAAAAAAATACAAAAAACTAAAAGAAATATTTTCATGAAGGAAAAAACATAGAAATTAATAATAATTAAAACTTAAAAGTTTTAAAAGAAAATAAGTAGGGAAAGAGGTAATTTAAAAAAAAAATAAAATTAGACATTGTAGAAGTAAAAATAAAGTCTTACTCTTATGACTTAATTTAAGTACGCTTAGGTGGTGGCAAAAAAGAAATATGGTCATAATTTTATTGAGAAGTAATTTTTATTTTATTTAAATAACTAATCATTTATAAATGTAAACGAGTCATTTAACTTAATGAAGTATAAAGTTTACTTTAAATTGAGTTTTAATTTGAGTTGACAGTTATAAATGTTTTTTAGTTAATTATTAACTACTTTTTTTAGTTTTAAAACTTTTTCACTAACGCAACCCGAATAATTATGCTTTTTTTAGAAAAACATTGTAAACTACATTTGCGTATTTCCCAATTATTATTATTATCATTATTACTAACTGCTTCTATTACTATTATTATAAACAATAATAAATAATTTATTTAATCCTTTGACATTGTCTCTACCGATAACGGTTTTAAAATAGAGTTGGGAGGAATTTTCCGTATGTTCGTAAGCAAAACCCGAAAGTAGCCGAAGTTTTCCGAATTCATACTCCCTTACCGCCATCCATTACTATCAAAACATTCTACGAGCGCTAAAAAGGAAATAATGTAATATTTGTTATTAATTTGCAGTTGCCAACACCTTGGTGCATACACTGAACAATGAAAGAATGAAGGATAGAAGAATAATACCAACTTTGTTGCTGAATAGTGTTTTATCTACAATCTGGAGCCTTCTATTTTGTTATGGTGTAACAGTAAACTTATCTTCTTGTTTTTCTGGATACAATGAAAAAAAAGTTGTAAAAAAAATTAAAATAACAATGTGAATAAATGACCGTGATGGCGAATCCAAATGCACTGAAAGTAAATTTACTGAAATAACTTCAGTTTTTCTTTTCAGTTTCAAAATAAGTAAAAAAAAATTACTTTTAAAAACACTTCAAGAACTGGATAATGTCAAGATTTTTGGGAAATCTCTTTACTTTATTCGTACCCTTCTGTTTCTTGTTGTCTATAACAGGTTAGTTATTTGACTCTTTTTTTTTTTTTTTTAAATAAAAAGAAACTTTTCAGAACTATAAAGTCACTTAGCTGTGATATTTAAATTCTTATATTCATGAACATTTGTATTTTTAGTTTTATCTTTTGCGTTTTAAATGTTTGCTTTTACTTTTTTTTTGTCACATACTTTTTCTAATTTTCTTTCTTAAAACTTTTTTAAAAGTGACAAAAATTGATCTCATTGCTTTCTTGCTGCTTTACACCGAAATATTAAAATTGATGACTTAGTTTTAAATTGGTCATCATCAGTTGAATTAAATTTTATGACTAAGACGAGGCATGAAAATATCTTATTAAATCTACGAAAAATGAATGTTTTTTTAAATGAAAATGAAACTGAAAGTCAATAAATATCACTCCTCAAAACCAGATCCATCCTAAATAGTTTTTAATTATTTTTTTTTGTTCAAACTTGATTGTTTCTTAGGAGTTTGTAAACAACAAAAAAGAAATATTTATCACAAATAAATTACAATGGTATGACTGCGGAATCTCTCCACAAAAAACTCTTCCCTTGGGAACTTTAATTAAAAAAATAATTAACTACTTTTTTATTTAGATTAGCTTTGTTGAAGAGTTACTTTTTAGTTTTTACTGACATCTTCAATTTTTATTGTTGATAAAATATGGAGAATTAATTTTAATTTAGAAAAAAAATGTTACTTTTTTTAAAAAGTATAATTTACCACTTTTATTAAAATTAAATGAAGCACATAAAAATATTTCTTTAAAAATATGATATATAACAAGTCCATGTTTCTGTTGTTTTTTTTTTTTATTTTGGTTGAAATTAGAATTGACAAAACATTTAAATTAAAAGAAAGATTAGTGAATAATCATGTAGTAACTATTGTAGGGTTTTTAATGGCACAATGAGAATGATTCAGGTTTTCGATGTTATTTTCTTTGTCTTCTTTCTTGGGAGTATGACAAACACCCAAAGCAAGAAAAATATTTAATTTTACTTTTGTTTGATCCTATTTACATTTTCACTTCATTTTTACCTTGTTTATTATAAGTACAATAAAAGAATTTCACGAGGTCGTAGACGAAAAAAACAGCCTTTATGATTTTTATAAGTTGTGAAGTTAATATTCAAAAATACTTGTCTACCTACATAATCTTGTATTTTGTTTATCCAAAAGTTTTAACAAATTTGTTTTTAAAAAATGATTTTTTTTACTTATTTCATTAAAAAAACGTATGTTTTAAACCGTGGGGTATTTGATGCTTATTATTTTTATTTTATTTAAACCATTTTTGTATTATTCACTATTGTGTATATGTTGAGCTCAGAAAAAAAACCCGAAAAATGCATCCTTGATGCTTGCCATTAAATCTGTTTTTGTTTCAGAAAAAAAAGAAACTTTTGCTTTTCCTTTACAAATCAGTTGAGTATTTTTTAAATAAAGTCATCATAAAAATAGTAATTGTAATCATTTGCCATAGGTGAACAACTGGTTTTCTTTTCTCTTGTCATTCTTTTTGCAAACAGCTGCTTCCGTAAAGTTTTCATAAAAAAATATTTGCTGAAAATATGATGCTAACGGTTTTTTAAGTCTTTAAAATAATTTTCTTTCTTACTTTTTTATGGCGGTTTTTTAATTTCATTCAGTTTCAGATGTACACTACACAGTTTTAACACCCACGCTAAAGTCCATTAACTTCAAATTAAACATTTTTCTTGTATTGATCACTCTCTTCCTATTTACAAGTGAATAAAGTAAAAACTGATGATGAATAACAAAAAAGAAAAACAAAACTTTGCAAGTTTGAGAAAATTTAAAAGACAAAAGATCAATTTTTTTTTTTTTTTTTGCATCATCTGCTTTTTCTGAATCGTAAGTTTAACCCTCCTCTTACAGAAAGAATAATGAGTTTGAGATAACTACAATAATTGCAATTGTTTAGTAACTGGAAAATGGAATTTATTGTGGTACGTCTCTGATAATCAAATTGACTATATTAGAGACGTACCACAATAAATTTAAATTACTGATATATTGACTTGGTCAGTATATCAGTTAATTTAATAAATTAAATTTAATCAAATCAAGCTTCAACTTACGGTTACCCAAGCCAAACACTCTCTCAACACATCATTTTTTATCAATTTATCATTTTTATCATATGTTTTTAAATCCTTAAAACTTAAAACAAAAGTAAATTCATATTTATTTACGTTGTAATCTGAAAACCTTTTTAAGGTAACCTTTTTTCCAGTGTTGATCAAACTATTTTCAGAATTGAGGGACAATCAAGTCATTACCCCCAACTCCTTCTTTTTTTTCTTTTTTTTTATAGAGCTGTAATTTTAATTTCTATATCAAATCAATGATGTGTAAACTTACCATGACTTTTTTTTTTAGTTTTCTAATTACTGTTGTTACTGTTGAGTTTTAAAAAAAAGCATCATTGACTGGTGAAAATGGTAACTTTACTTACAGCACTGCTGATTTCGCTTGAAACTTCTGACGATAGGAGAATTAATAGTTTTTTTTTTTTATCAACTGAATTCTACGTTATTTTATGTAATAAAAACTAACACCTGACTAACACTAAACAGCCTTATTAGTATTTTTGTTAACACCTCCTATTGTTTTTTGTTTTTTTTAAATATCTCATATTTTTATGCGAAATATAGCAGTATCATTCGAAAATATACACATCACAATATTCAACTTATGACAACATTCCCTTTTTAGCTCACATTGAACCTACTGAATATCGGATTGTTTAATGGCGAAAAACATGGGTGCTGCCATGACTTGAGATGATGAGACTGAGTTACCCAGTTTATCTTGCAGGACAATTTGCTTGTGCAGAGATTAGCTAAGTATATAGTGACTACCAGCCTCAACCTATTCCCCCTTTTTGGCCTTGTGTCACAATTGTTGTAGTATTTTCGAGCAATAAATCTCGAGTTCAATCCTTAAGGTTACCTTTTTAAAAGTACCATTCGACTTTACACATACTGTGACCATGTATCAACAACAAAGTAAGTTTTTAGATAAATGAAGCAAACTTAGAATGCTTTTAAAATACTATTTTTCATTATATACATAAAAAAAAACTTATTGTTTTCAATCATTTTCAAGACAGTTATTTGTTGTAAGAGGGTAAACAAAACACTAACAGTGTGCTTTACTTGCTGTTATGCCATTGGTAAGCCATAGGTGGAAAATGAAATAGGCTTTCTTTTTTTATCATTTTTTTTTTTTAATTTAATCTCGATTTTTTTATAGATATTTCTTTTTCACTTTTTATTTTATAGCCGGTCATCCAGAAGAGGAGAATGATGATGCAAAAGAAAAATTGTTACTTACTGTTGTGAGAATAGAACAAGAGTATGCTCATCTCAGTTGGTTCTCAAATGTGCCTTCTCGACCAGGACTTGTTAAGTGTGAGGTTGTGTGCAGGCCAGAAAATAAAGAAAGCCGGGCCACTGAAATTAAAAACAGTTTGCCTACCAACTGGACTTTACTTGAACTCCCTGAACTTCATAACAACACTAAATATTCAGTATTTATTGTTTGTTCTCTAGATACAGAGGTGTACAGATCAAATGTTGTTCATTTTGTTACAGGTAAGTTACTTAAGTTGTTAGTCTGTGTAAAATCAATCTCTTGAATCAGTTATAACAATGGTTTTATATTATCTTTTGAGTTAAACATGAAATACTCCTTTTATATTAGTTATGCCTAAAGTTTGGGTATAGAAATTTGCCAAAAGCGAACCACTTAACAAAACACCTAAATTTCCTGGTGTAAATGGATTTATTCTTAAATGCTTACAAATCAGTTGAAATGCTGTAAGTTATTCAACTTTTGACTGAAATTGATAGTTTTAAGAAATAAAGTCCTCTTTTTCTCTTTTCATTTTTTTTTAGATGATATCTTTTTATATGAAACCCTTTTTTTAGATGCAGATTGCTAGAATAAATTTTAATTTAGATAAAATTAGAAACAAATATCATTAGATATATTGACAGATATCAAACTACTTTTTTCTAAGTTGTGATCCACATAGCAATGAAAGAAAAGTAGCAACTAACTGCAGCTGCCATTAGCCTACAACATATCAAATGATGATAATGGGATAATTAATATGTAAATGATGGTAAAATGAACTATTTTATTCAAATTTTAAGGTAACTGAATTTCTTACAGGAAATATTTTCTATACATAAAATTGGAATCCAGTGATTAATTTTGTATGTGTAGGCTGGTTTAAAAGTTAAAATGTAGATCATGACAATATCACAAAAATTACCTTTTTGCATTCCACTCTCCATTTATTAACATCATATCTCCAGCTCTACATAACTCAGTAGCTTATTTGTTATTATTTACATTATATTGTAATAATTAAGAGGAAAACACTTAACTCTTGGTTGTAAATTTCTTTTTTCCTCTTGGTGTTAAGCTTCATTTATCTGATATGAAGGACTATGCTAACATGTGATTTTCAAATTAATATTCTATCTTGATTCATATTATTTTTAAGATGATTTTTATGAACAAAAAATTTGTTAAAGTATTGTAAAATTTGTGATATACAGATGCAAGTCTAAAGCAGGCAGTAATCATTGAAGGTAAATTTCTTAAATATTTTCTGTGCTACATATGACATGCAAATTCAGATATTTTTTCTCTCAACCAGCTGATTGTAATATAAATTAATGGTTGTCATCAATAGATCTCATCTGTTGCATTTGTCTGTAAAATGTTCCAGTGCTCATTTTGATTGATATGTTCCATGATGTATAGGAGAATTTTTTTTGATTGATGAATGTGAAAACCAGTTTCTTTCTCTATATTCAGATCAGTGGCTGTCACCAAGGAGATTGATTCTTCATGTTTGAAAAGATTTCAGGTTATAAATAAGCAATATGCAAATATTGTTGTTTGTGATGAACTTCTCCGTTCAGCTTTTAAACTTTAGCTAAATCAGGTGCATTTTTTCAAATATAGAAATTTTATGTTTGCAGCATACATTGTTGTTTTGGAGTTGGGATAAACTTTTTTTTTTAATGAAGATCACTTAGAAATAATTTTTAAAAAATTAGTATTGACAATTTTTTGCCCACATTTTACAAACACACACACACACGAATATATTTGTGTATTTACACAGCAATCCTTCTTTTATGCACATTTCATTGAATATGACAGACAAGGTGCTTTGATCTAATTTTTTATACAATTTCTCATGCGATCTAATAATTTTTTATTTTCAGATGATAAATTATATAAAAACTGTTTGAAATTTCTTTTATTTCGAGTGCTTTTGGATATATAATTTAGCCGTTTTCAAGGATGAAATATTTTAACTGTTAAATAAGAAATAGTTTGTTGCATATATGTATTTATATGTTTTCATTTTTCAAAATACGGTCAAGATATTGTGTCCATGTTCATAGTTGATATTATTAAGTGTTGGCTTTTTTGTTTTTATTAATAAGGCTTCCATTATTTTTAGCTTTTTTTTTTTTTTTTTTTTGCATGTAGATGATGCTATTATATTTGTGTTGTCAACAAGTATGTTATGAATAGTGTCCAGTAGGTCTCCATAATCATTTAAATGAGATCTAATTGAGCTATGATCAAAAAGGTGTAGAGTGAGTCTTTATGTCAAACATGTTGTAGTGTGGCCTATATAATTATTTACAAATTTTGATTGATCAGGAATACAATTCCTTAATGGGCATTTAAATTCGTAAATAATATTTGCCCTATTTAATTTTGTTCTAATATATCAGGTCATCCCATAAGTTCTGTCCGAATTTTAACTTTATGTTAAAATGAACAAAATTTAAAAAGTATTTTATAATGTCTAATAGAGCTGAACATTTTTATGTTTAGATGCATTTAAACTGATCAAATTTTATTTCAGAGAACAATAAAATTAAATTTTGTTTGATTAAAACCCTGATAACATAGAAGTACCCAAGAATCATTTGAGGCACATAATGCTTTATGAGTTCAAGAAAGGAAACTCAGCAGCCGAAGTGGCTAGAAACATTCACTCAGTTTATGGAGAGGAAGGTGTGAATGAAAGAACTTGCAGAAGATATTTGCAAAATTCAGAGGTGGAGATTTCACCCTTGAAGATGAAGATCGAACTGGACGTCCAGTTGAGTTTGATGAAAAACTTCTTGAAGCAGCCCTTGAAGAAAATCCTGCTTTATCAGTTGAGGAATTGGCAGTGGTTCTCAGTTCAAACCATACAACTGTTCATCGTCATCTTCAACAACTTGAAAAAGTTCCTAAACTTGGAAAATGGGTGCCTCATGAATTGTCTGAAAACAACCTCAAATCCCGAGTTGACATCTGCTCTTCTCTCCATTCTCGTCACCTTGTTTCACCTTTTTTGGATAGACTTGTGACTGGTAACGAAAAATGGATCTTTTATCGAAATGTTAAGCATCGTAGACAATGGCTTGGTAAAGGGGAAGGACCACAGCCAAGAAGGGAACTTCATGGGTAAAAGGTTCTTCTTTCAATCTGGTGGGATCGCCAAGGAATAATCCACTTTGAATTCTTACCACCTAATGCAACAATTAATGCTCAAATATACTGTCAGCAATTAGAGCATTTAAACCAAAAATTTGAAAAAAAAAACCTGTTCTAGTGAATTGAAAAAGGGTGATGTTTCATCAGGACAATGCTGTAGTGAATTATGATAATCATAAGTTCTTTAAAAAGTTTGTGTTTTTTAAAAACATTTTTCTCTGCGGGGAGGATTGCCAAAAGTTTTCTGAGTCAGCAAAAACTCTTATACATAAATTTTCGTCAACCCAAGAATAGTACTATTAGCATTATATGCGATTCATCTGGTCTGTTCTGTGGCGGAAACAAGTCCATCTGAAGAAAAAAAGTATATTAATTGACGGAAATTTTTTTTCATTTTCCTTCCCCCCTTGTTTAAAACACCAACTTTCATATTTACATTATCGGCAGAACCTATTTTTTCCATTAACACAACACGCTGGGATAGGATTATAGTACTTTATTTAGGTGTATGAATTTCTAACCGGAGATTTCACCCCACACGCAATCGCCCAAGTCATATGGCACTCATTCCTTTATCCGTTCAGTTGAACTTTATGCGCAATGTCTTAGCAAACTTTTGTACTGATAAATCATGTTGGCTGGCGCTGGTTGAGGGCGATACATTATTGTCTCTCGGAAATAACATTGTACCAATACACTGCCTCCATTATGGAACACTGCTTCCCTAGCAGCGATTCTTTTGATGCTCTGATGACATCGCTCGATTATGCCATTCCCTGATGGGACATATGCGCAGCGAAATCTGAGGTGTACTTTTTTCTTCCACAAAATCTTTGAATAGTCCACTGCGGAATGCAAATGTCGTTGTCAGTTCCCTGTTCCGTCGAGGTTCACGTTCAAAGAACAATGACCCCAAGTGGTCAATGACGCTTGCCAAATCCTGTCGACGCAGACGCCAAATAGTGAACCGGGTTGGGCCACAATCAATCAGGGTTAAATAGTGATGTCCGTTATAATGGGTGATGTCCATTCCAACATGGTGCCACACCTTGCTTACACTCACTTGTCCTTTTTGCCATTGCACAGGTGCTTTCGATGGACTGACACTATTTGCATCCTCTGACCATGCCCCTGACAGCAGCTTTGGATACGGAGGATAAATCTGCCTCAAGAATATAAGGTCCATTTTACACTGGGATGTCCGCTTTGGCAATGCACAGATTTTAGTAAATCTGAGTTATAGTTTTAAAACGCTGATGTTATGCAGACATGTTCTATGGGTCTACCTCTTTACACTAGGCGTCAAGCCATTTTTGGGGTTACCCTTGTTAAAAGTAAATGTCGGCCTTGTTCTGCTGTGATCTGACCAGCTGTTTCTACGGATAAGTGGTATTCAATTACCAACTTTCCCAGTGTGTCTAGCCTTTTTGTGTTTCTTGCTGTGATCTTTGAATTATCTCCAAGCCTTCCCGTAAGATGTCTGCTATCCATATATACAAGCATGCAAATCCGTGAATAAATGCAATACAAATGCATTCCATTGAAGTGACTCCCCATAATGGCGTCTAAATTCTGACAGGTTGATATGTTGCGTATCCTTCTCGGAACGCAAAAACACGCATCTTCCATGACAGTGTCACCTACTTCAAAAAGACACTCCTGTTGCAATGGAGCTCGCGTCGACCCAGACGTTAAATTCACATCCGTCAACGCACCATTTACCACGTAAGGGTTTGACGCACCCTAGTAATGAATTCCCTATCATGTGTCTAAAGGGGAGCATCATTTGTTGTGTCATCCCAGCCGGAAGTGACAGCAGTCACCCTACGTTTAATAAATGCAGTTGCAATGCGGATCCATCTGCCCACGGAAAATGTCCCAATTAAATTTTAACATAACGAAAACACGCTGAACACTTCATGTGTTTGGGAATGTCCGGGAGCTTTTCCACGTTTCCAGTAAATATTGTTGTGCTCCCCCCAGACCTGCAATCAAATGCACCATCCTCCAATTAATTGTTTTTATATTCGATCACAAAGTCAGGTAGATCAATTTCTCACCTGTGAATTATATAAGAGGTTTCGTTGATGTAATGTATTAAAATGTAAGCTGACGTTTTGACTTTTTTTACTCATTCTCGGATAGCACAGCATCCAAAATGGCTTTCATGATGGCCAAGGCCAAGATTGAGTCCCAATCAATTTCGGGTTAAGCAGGATACTCTCGCCCCATTAAGATTAGACCGTCTGAAATGGCCACAGTGACGGTGCATTCAAAATTCTGCAAGTTTTAAAAATGAAGGTCAATCACAGAGACATTGGATCCCTTTGTTTGCCATTCTTTTTTTTTGTGCACACATTAAGCATGAGCTGTGTATGTGTCTTTATGTCTCGTTCAGTTCTCTATAATCTGTACAGGCGCACCTTTCCCTTGTTCTTTTGTACCACGGCCATCAAATATTTTGAGGCCTCTTGGAGGACCAAGCTCTTCCTTAAGATACAGAGTCAAAATCCGTTATCCAGCCACACCTGCAATTTTTTTTTATTCTTCCTTTCGCGTTGGGGTTAAATCTAATATTCTACACTTTAAATGGAGATTTTCTGGTGGGTTATTTTCCGACCATTTCAAAATGCTGTCCATGTCTTCGAAATTTTTTGAACTCTTTCGCTTTGCAAAAGGCTCGTTGATCTTCAAAGTAGCACAGATGGGTGGATCATGGAAATTTGAAAAATGCCTGCCCTCTGTAAAGTGATTTACCTAATTTTTCTCCTTAATAATGTCCATCCCAAAAGAGCAGATCGAAAAAGACTAATAACAATACTGTCCACGACCAATGATATTTTGTGACAAATTATATATAAATTATATATATATATTTGATATTTCAAATATTATTCAGAGCAATTTCCATCAGCCATTAATATATCCATCTTTTATCTTTTTACTGTTGGGCAAAATTTAAAAAAGGTGGAAATGGTCTCAGGTTTTATCAACCAGATATCAAGATTGATTATTCTTCCTTTTATATATTGAATGGCGTTGGATTTTTATGTATAGGCAGCTGATTTTTCATAAATTTGAATTGAGCAAATAAAGCACTCCAATTTTTTTTTCAGTTTGGAACTTGAAAAGAATTCTCAAGGCCACAAAAAAAAATCATGTCACAAAAGATTGAAGAACTTGGTTGGGAGAAAATTCCTCATCCACCTTATTCTCCCGATCTTGCTCCTTCAGACTACCATTTGTTTCGTAGCTTACAGAATCATTTGGAAGAAACAGCTTTTTGTAACACAGGAAGAGGTTAAAACTGACATTTGTGAGTTCTTCGAATCAAAGCCAAAAAAATTTTACAGTAATGGAATTAGTAAACTTGTTAATAGATGGAAGGAAGTCATAGATAATCAGGAAAATACATTGTTGATTGAATCTGTAATTAAATATAACATTTGGTCACTTGTTTTCTTTATTCAAAATTCGGACAGAACTTATGGGATGACCTGATATATAAAAATTGTTAATTTTTCAAAAATGATGTTTCTGTTTTCCTTTAACAAATTGATGATTTAAATTCTCCAAGGAAATTCTGCTTTTTTAAAAAATATAAATATGAAAAGACTGAAATTTTAATTTTCTTGAAATTTTATAAAACTAAGTAAGTGGATTTAAAAATATATTTATTTTTTCTCTTTACTAAAATTTTCTAAAAAAAAAAATAATAATAATAATAATTCCCAAAATAATTCCATTCATTTGTAAATAAATTCTGAAAATTTCATTAAAATCTGACAATTATTTGATTTTTGCAACCATTTCAGAAACAGTGTGTTTTTACTGCTAAAAAGATGATAAAATTATCCATAGTAATCTTTGACCCACCCACTGACACAAGAAAAACAAGATTTTTAACTAAAATTTCAAACATGCTAGAAAGGATTAATAGAATAATCAAAAATACTTTGGTCTTTCCTCTTAATAATATAAACATTTTGACAATAAAACTTTGTTTTTATCAAGATTGATGTGCCTAAAAAATAAATGAGCTTCTGATTAATCAACAGTAAAATATCTTAAAAATGTTGAAATATTTGATAAACAATAAAATGTCAAGCTGAAAAAAAAAACATGCAATATCACACTTAACAATCTAATCCTTGAAATTACTATTTGTTTTTCTTAACAGGCATACCTTTAACAACACAAGTGGATAAAAAAGTATTCAAAGAAAGCCATCACCATAAAAATTTTCCAGTGCCAGAAGCCATTCATGAAAGTCAAGTTACTGATGTTTGTGATACAACCCAGTTTTTTCATTTATTGAGTTTTTGTTTAAACATAACTTTCGTCAGTGCCTTTTACTTGTGGAAAAAATTTGGAAACGAAACAAACATTTGCTCAATTTTATAAAAAAAAAAATTTTTTATTCAATAAATTTTTCTTTTGTTTTAAAATAATTAATATATATATATATATATATATAGGTAAGTGAATGACAAAATGGGGAAAAAAACAAACAGGCATAAATTTACTGTAGAGGATTCTGAAATTAGTGCACCATCAGTATATTTTTGCCTTACTAAATTATTTCCACTTTTAATCAGAACTGCATTCTTTAAGTCAAAATTATGGTCAGACTTATTAAGATGATTGATTAATTCATTGAATGTATTGTTTTGTAAAAGTTTCCTTTCATTTTCATATAATCTTTAATTTAAATTCCTAAACAAATCTCCTCCATTGCTGGAGATGATTTTTTGCCATCTGTTATTGTAAATTCCTTCCTCAGGTTTAACATTGTGATTATTTTTCTGTGTGTAGTGATTAAACCTCTTGTTTTTGAAGTTATTGTGACTAATTTTTTTATTGAGTTTAGATAGATACTTTTTAATTTTAGTCATTGTTGAATTGATAGGTAACATGTACCTAGTTTTGTCAAGGCTGTTGTTTGTGTTTTGTTTTTTGGATACATCCGTTAAAAACATATTTCCTCATAAAATACCACTGATAAAAAAGTTTTACGAGATAAAAACAAATGCAATAATAGGCTAAATGAAATAGGCTAAGTATAACATCTAGATACAACAGATGTCATAATTTAAAGTTGAGCAACTCTGTATCTTTAACATTTCAATGTTAAACTGTAACTGATGTTTATTACATTTTCTTCCTATCTTCCATTTTATATATAAGACTGATTCCATCAATAGACTCACAGCCATATCACATTGAAAAAACCAGTTCCCATACGATAATCAAAGTTAAGCAACATCTAGCCTGATCAGTACTTAGATGGATGACCGTTTGGGAATACCAAATG